GAGTCCTGCCTGCCATAAAACTTATCGAGGACCTGGTGCAACTTCTAAGGTATAGGGATCTATAGGGAGTCATGTCCTTTTTAGTTGCATTTCTTTTATTGATGTAAAATCCACATAACATAATGTCAACCCTTTTAATGTATACAATGAACTGGAATTTTGTAAATTCACGATGTTGCACCACCACTTCTATTAGTTCCAAGAGGTTTTCATGACCCCAGAGGAAACCGCAAGGTAGTAAATCTCCATTTTGTCCTCCCATTGAGCCCCTGAGTCTTCTTCCTGTTTCAGTGATTTCTTTTTGGATAATTTCTATAAATGGAATCACACAAAATGTGATAGTTTCTGTCTGGCTTCTGTCACGTAGCTGCATGTTTTCGATGTTCATCCACATTGTAGCAGGTATCAGTGCTTTGTTCTTCATGGCTGGATAAAAGTGTTATGGAGACACCAGCTTCTGTTTATATGAAAGCTGTCCAGGATGAGGGTGTGTATAGATGTGGTTCCAAACCTGCCATGTGGGATGGACCCTCACATCACAGGTTGAGAACTGAAGGGCAGTCAGTCAAGGAGAGTCAGCGATGGCAGGAAGAGACAGCACCACGTTTAATGGAGGAAGAGTCCTCTACAGTGACATGCACATGTTTCCTGTCCCAACCACGTCTCCTCCCCGGGTCAATTCCCTGACGTATGGTCCAAATGTTCTTACACACCTCTTGGATCATCAGATGAGCCCCAAGGCTGCACCACTCTGAATGGTGTGTTGTTCCCTACTGTGGTCACCTCCTGGATGCATTGTGGGTCTTTAACGGGCCACGTGGAGCCTGAAACAGCAGCACCCCGAGGATCACCAGGATCACGCCAGCCACACCCATCCGGATGAGATTCCCCACTGTGTAGTCCTGGGGATGGGAGGCTGGGAATTGTGGACAGAGAAGTCAGATCAGATCAAAACCACCCAGGATCCTGGATGTCCACCCAGGACACCCGCCTCCCCTTGACAAAACATGACCCTCAGAGCCCAGCCACACAGCTGAGGATTTCTCCTACTCACCACTCTTGGGGTCTGACTTGTTTTGTGATGGGCTGATGGTGTCAGCTGCTCCCGAGAATCATAAAAAGAAGGTGTGAGTGAGAGAACCTGGGCCCAGCTTGTCCCTCTGTGCTCAGTTCTAATATCCCACTTCTCACAGCATAAGTTCTGTGTTGCCCTTAGAGAACCCTCTCACTGCTGTAGCCACGTTCCCTCTAGGCTCCTCATTGTATTCTCCCAGCTCCTCTATCATGCGAGTTCAGATCTCATTTCTGAGTTCCAGTGGGACATATTTTGGTGGTTCCCCAAGACCAGAACAATTTTCTCTCCAATGCAGTTGAGCAACTCTCTGTTCTCTGTTTACTCTGAGATTTAGGACCACAATGCTTAATCTCTTGGAAATGAGAATATCCACTTATTTAACAGCTGAGGACTCAGGGTCCTGGGAGAAGGGGCTGGAGTCAGGGGCTCCTGATGTCAGGAGCACACAGAGTAAAAACTAGGGGCTGGGTTGCCTTTCCATTCGAGCTCAGCCAGTTCACTTGATGTTTCATCATCTATCTAAACTCTCACTAATAATTCTTCATGTAGTTAGGAATACCTAAGAAAAGGTGTATTTATATGTATTTTACATATATACACATATATACATACATAGACACACATTTATACATATAAACACACACAAATATAGGCATATTTTTCCAAATGCTGGTGTTNCTTCTCAGAAAAAAATAAGCTCAAGGAAATCATTACCACCAAGCCAGCATTGCAGAAAATGTTAAAAGGGCTTCTTTAAGAAGAAGAAAGAGGAAAACAAATTAACTAACAAAGATCAAAAATACAAATAACGAATGGCGATAGCTATGTACCTATCAGTAATCACTTTCAATGCAAATAGATTAAATACTCTAATCCAAAGACATAGGGTGGCTGAGTGGATAAGATAACAAGGCCCATGGATATGCAGTATACAAGAGACTCATCTCAGATCAAAAGACACACACAGGTTGAAATTAAAGGGATGAAATAAGACATTTCATGCAAATGGAAATGAGAAAAAACCTGAAGTAACAATACTTATATCAGACAAAATAGACTTTAAAACGAAGACTATAATAAAAGACAAAAAAGGGCATGAACTAATAATAAAGGGATCAATACAACAAGAGGATATAACCCTAGTAAACATCTAGGCACCCAACAATCAGGAGCACCTAAATATATAAAACAGAGATTGACCAACATAAAGACAGAGATGAACAGTAACACTATCATAGTAGGGGACTTCAACACCCCATTGTCACCAATGGACAAATCCTCCAGACAGAAAATCAACACGGAAACAGTGGCCTTAAATGACACTTTAGACCAGTTGGATTTAACCAATATTTTTAAAGCATTTCACCCCAAAGCTGCAGAATATACATTCTTCTTGAGCACACGTGGGCTATTTTTGCCGAGAGCCGGCTCGACAGCCGGGCCACCTGGATGATCAGGCCAGGAACCCACCGAATGGTCCCTGAGCAGAATTGATCAGCGTGAGGAAATGAGGAAAGAAAGAATGGTATAGACACCAAAGTTGGGATTGGGAGGTTCACTGACTGCTGGTGGCAACAAATGACAAACTTTATTAAAAGGCATATTGCTTATATAGGAAGCAAGTTCCTCTTTTGCCAGGAATAAATCTTATCTAGGCATAGGGGTTTTGGTAGGGGGTTTTTGGGGAATGAGGAACCAATGTTCCTGACTTAGGGGTTTGGAGGTCAGATAATCTCTTGGCAACAAGTTATATGATCACATAGCATAGACTAATAACATATTTTAGGTAAAGTGAAACTGAGGCAAATAGCAACTATCAGCAAGTCCATGATGGAAAAGTCCCAAAAGTTCATAAGTCCATATAGATAGTGACATCTGAGGGTCTGGTGGTTGTGGTTTAGGAGCTTCTGCTTTTCCA